CACCCGGATTCGAGTCCTGCTCGGGGTGCTGATGAGACCAGTTTAGATGGGATCTACACTATGCTCCACTTTTGCTTGGATGAAATTACCTTTTGGGAAGCATGACGAAATGTAATTTAATTCAAACATGAGGCCAACTCATATGATTATGGGAAAATGCAGCTAACAATCATTCATCATCTTAAGTGATACAGAGTAAATACATATTTTGTAATATTTTTAAATGTTAAGTAGGCTTGAGCATAACCTAAGAACATTAGTCACCCTGTAGTCATTTTAAGTGATAAGGGACCAATTGTGAATTTTTTCACAATGAGAGTAAAGGAGATGAAATTTCATTAATATTAGTTAAAATCTTCGGATAGTCTCGAAATCCTACGAATTGCAAATATGGGAATAGAAGTTCTAACTTTCGCTAAATTATCGTTTTCGAAATCATTTGGATGCTTCAAAGCTTCTGATTTTATCTGTTACAATAAACTGTGAAGGAAACTAGCGTAGTCAACAGCCCCGGTGGGATTTAAATTATAGATACTTGGATTTTAAGAACCTTGACGCAATACATATAATGAAATAAGTGGACCTTTCTTTTTCACTGAATTTCACACAGCATTTCTTTCCCAGATGCTATTCACATCCGGGCTGAAGTGGATGCAGTCTCTACCTCGCCTAGATCTTATCAACATTCACATCTGGACTCGAACCATGAAAATGCAGCGTGTAATCTCGACACTTTAATCACTACGCCACATTATCACGAATGCCTTGGGTCACAGTGTGGATGTGAATTTCAAAGAGGTCCATGTATTTTACAATATCACACCTCCCTGTGACCACCAACTTCGAGGCAACCAGACGTCAGGGTTCCAATTTACTTTATGTTAAACTTTATGGCCAATATAAATGCAACCAATCAGAGGACCTGAAAAAAGGATGTTTTGATTAGAAAAATGGCGACTTGGCTTACTCATTAACCTTGTCAAAGTGGAACTCCTCAGTCTCATGAATCGCACCCATGTTCGGCACAAAGGAAGAACCGATACAGGCGAGCTATGGGAGAGAAAAAAAAAGTCATTTTATCTAATTACATTTCTTTCATCCTTGCACTAACGCCGAAGCGGTTGGACGAGTTGAATAGTAGGAATGAGAAAATCATAATTTTTCAAGGTTTGTCTTCTCTTCCGAGACTTACAGAGTCCTCTAGACCTTGTTTTTTTCTATTTTTTAGACGATAGAGTCTTAGGACTGAACTCTTGAGTGCTGGATTTTATTTGGGGCACGGATTTCTCTATTGATGATGCATTTAGCCTGACATTCGTGAGATGTCTACCCTCTGATACTGACGAGTATCACAATGGGCTTTTGTTTAACCATCTATACCCAACGACCTTCGGTGTGCTCCAAATAGGGACTTCTCGTTATCTGGAGGCGTTGTCTTTACGCGCTTGAGTGATTTCATAGACCTGAGCCGAAAGATACCTCCACATCAGATGAAGGAGTCAAGCGATACTTTTCTTTTTTTCTGGCTGGAAAGTGAAGCCTTAAAAGAGTCATAGACAGTCAATGTCAAATAATGTGCTAAAGACCCAATAGTTCAAGTTGCCCAGCGAACTTTACTTAACCCCAATTTCCAAAACGTAATCTCAACCAGGCAGGACTGCAGTTTCGAACTTTTCTGGGCCCCAGCAACAGCTCCATGGGTGTTGTCCTCATTCTGACATGTCAGCCAGTTGGTAACAGAGCGGGCTTACCTTAAAAAGCAACGAATAAAAGTTGGGTTCCAAGGAATCTCTTGTGAAGGTCGGTTCCAGCAGAAGACGACGGCGGAACCGACAGCTGGTCAAGAGAAATCCGCCGTCGTCTTCTGGTGGAACTGACCTTCGAAGCTCTTCACCTAACACTTCTACTCGAAATGGAAGTAAGCTTAAAAAGCAAGCCAGGCCTCTCCTATATCATCTTTTTTAAGAGTTGATGAAGCAAGTCTGTATTTGCTAGTGCAATATACTACGTTACTTATATTCGTATTCAGTAGACTTTCGCTACTAGCAGTAAATATTAAGCAGCCATATGAGATGTATTCACTCTATTTCGTTTAAGGTCTTAAAACTCTACTCAAACACGAAGAATATCTCCAGCCAAGTTGGTCTGAGTTGATAAGGGACTGATATTTGATTTTCCCGATTTCGACTTAGTTTTTGCTATTTTTGAAGTCCAAGCGAGTTCGAAACTAGAGTCCGGTCAAAATGTCAACACCTTTTGGAGGTAAATTCAAGGGAAATGTCATTTTATCTTCGAGCCTATTCATTTTATTATGAAATATCAACTGTAAGTCTTTACTATCGATGTGAGTGAGTTAAGAGATTTTCATTAACCTTTATTCTCGAGACCAACTAATGGTGAAAATAGGTAGTGTAAACGATTGCAACGGAAAAAAACATTTTGCCATATTGGCGATTTGGAGTAGACCTGGCTTGACCTGACCTGTGACCAATTGACATCTGTGGATGTATAGCCGGGTGGTAGCCTAACCCAGTTTTAGGCGGCGTTAGGGGTGCGGATGAGGCCAGTTCAGGTGGGGTCGAGACTGCCCTTTGGTTCAGTTCAGTCCAATCGGGAGGAGAACAATTTTTGGGAGGCAAGGCTAAGAGGAATTCGATAACATAATTATGTAATTTTGGGAAAATTCAACTACCACTCTTGAATAAATCTAGGTTGATTACAGTTCACATGAAGATAAGGCTCAATTTTTTCATAATCCAATGATGATATCTGTTTGAATGTAGCAATCGGAAGTTTGCAAGAGAGCAGCATGAAATGACAATTCCTACAACAACCAGCTTTGCAGGTCTTCGGAGGTTTATTTCTGCCGAGTCCCACTTATTACACTCGATTCCATTTTGGGTTTTTCTTCGAAATGCTCTCATAAAACCAACTCCCACTCACCAGTCTTGCAGTCTCCTCGGTGTCTGCATCTGGTTTGGGACTCTGGCCCTCTTGTGAAAACCCTGAAAGACAGGCCAGAGATGGCGTTTGTTGCCAGGCGATCGGGATCTCGATGGCCTGGGCCACCTCCGGCTGAGGAGTCTGTGAAGCGGCTGGGATCTCAGAGGTGAGGCCGACATGCTCTGATGGTTGACAGTCTTGTTGTCCTCTGTTCGCGACAGTGAAGCTCCCATCAGCCGTGACTTGAATGCCGGCCAGACCCATCAATGGCGACTTGGTGTAGAAGTGTAGTTCGGACAAGGGCAGGTCGCCTCCGCCGCCGCCGCCGTCGGCGTCATCATCGTCGTCG